CTAAAACCGGAGCCGGTGAAACTTGAAATCGATTTAAACGTTATGAAACATAATTTTCTAGCGAAAAGAAGTGTGACGCTTAAGTATTTTTGCCTTCGTTTGCCAGTAGTTGATGATGTTATAATTATTTGTATTGGTTAGAACATTAATTGAGGAAGACTTAAGGTTATATAATTGGTAATTTTAATACACTATAAAAAATAGTTATCAGAATTCAACTTAGATTATTCATTACAATACATATATACCAATTAGAGTGGTTGTTATAAAACTGTATCATTACTAGATGCTTTTAACTTCAAAAATTATTTATGAAACAATGATTCTTCATTAAATGATCAATCTATGTCAACAGCTATAGTTTATAAGGCTGAAGAAATTGTTTGCAAAAAAATATGTTTTAAATAAAACACTTTAATGGTTTAAAACGCGATATATATTAGTAAAAAATATTTTCATTGCTTTGCGTAGCCGTGTCGTCGACACTAACTAATATATATCACGTTATAAACCGTTTAATTGTTTTATTCTAATGTGGACTACTCGCGTAAACTACAGACAGTATAAAAATAATGTTGATCTCCAAAATAACTAGTTCAGGCACATCTAGTCACTAAATATTCTTAAATATATTATGTACAAGATACTCTATTCTTATTAACGAATAGGTATACCAGTACCAAAAGGAAGCATTCGCTTAAAAGCTATGTGAAATTTCGTGAAATTTCAACTTGCTACCAATTCTCTAGATGAAACGAATTCTCCGAAAACCATGCTAGCGTCAGACTGTTGTAACTGTGTGATTTTTTTATCATTGTATCGTAGCCTTTGTAAAAGGGGTTTACTAGATTGCATATTCCGAGCAACAGGTACGTCATTCACTTGAGGGGCGAATGTCTATTGTTTTTAACTGAAAATAAATTGAAACTCTATAAGCGCGTGATGGATTTAGACAAACGATTTTATTTTTGGAAATGCTGTTAAAGCAGCCATTATCCTTTTTCCAAACGCAAAATAAATCTGCATTTTGATTTAGAAAAATATTTAATTGAATTACTTAGTCTGAAGCTTCAATGCTTTTACTGTTATTGTTTTCATGTAATATTCTAATGCGCTTAAGGATTAATACACTTTTGTGTTTTTTATTCTGATACTAGAGCTTACTAATTAGTATTTCTGTCTAACTGCTCAGTCGGATTAAAAGCAAAACAGAATACAAGTATTGTCTATAGCTTACGCGAGTAGTACCTACACAATTAAATAATGCAAATTTAACGGTTTAAAACGAGATATATATTTATTATCCCGTCAAAAAGAGGATACGATGAGTGAGTTCTGTGAGTGCCTAGGCAGTTTCTCTAAATACCAACTACGACGAAACAGATGGCACTAGCGTAGCAGTTTTGACTTAGTTAAATTAGAACCACCCTCTTACTTAGGTCCCTCCGTGACCACGGTTGCTGCAAAGCATCCTAAGAGTCGAATCTTACTAAAATTAAATTAAAAATAAAGTATTTTAATATATTATAATATGTTAAAAGTGATTTAGTCAAATATTCATTTGGTTTGTGCTGCCTTGATTTTTAAAAAGACCTTAATTTAGTTTTATTACAGATTATTTAAATAAAGTTACAATACTTAACAATAAAATTATGCTGTATTAGAAATTGGCGTAACGCCACATTCGCCTCGTTGGATATGAAAATCTTCCGGAAAAAATATGGGAAAATCGGACCACAAAAAATACCCGCAAAACGTTTTTGTATAAATTCAATCCATTAGTTGCATAAAAATACGATTATATTATTATATAGCACACTCTGAGCGCGTTGTTTAACTTTTATTCCGTGAATTCTATGAACACCCGAATCATCTACAGTATGCTCTACCTATTTGAAAGTTAAAATGTCGTGACGGCTCGGCGCAATAAAGAGTCGTAAAAAAATATCTGTAACAAGATTGGGCGTCTTCATTTTTAACGGGCACTTTAGTGTAGAAATTCTATAGAGGTTTGCGAGCAAACAGAACAAGGCCTGACATAAAAATTCGCCGCCGTCATTAGGCTGAGACGGGTTTTGATCAAGACTAACTCCTTTGCCACCCCTCGTTCGCAATTTTAAATGACGCCTCCCGATATCACCGCGTGAATGACAAACCGGTGATAATTTTTCACGTCTGTAGGCTTTAGACAGTAGTTACTCGGAACCTTGATTTCCTTTGAAATTAATGTTCAGTAATCTGAATTGCAATTTGCTAGTTCTTTGCGATTTCGAATCATGCTGAAACGTAGACAGTTTACAAAGTTTTTAAACATATGTTTTCTGTTTTTAATAAATACGCTTCTAAATATATACATTTGTACTTTAATGTCGTAATTGTGTTTTTATATGTCAATAAGAAATCGATTTTTGATTAAAAAAAATTACGACACGGGCGGGATTTGACCCGGAATCCACCAGCACTACAAGCTGTTGCTCTAACGCACGTCATCATCGTTTTTTTTTCAACCTATTAAGACATGCACTTCTCGCATATTCTATATCTTTCAATTTTACGAACAAAGATCACTTGTTCGAATAACGAATTTCGCTACTTCTATTACAGCGTTTCAACGGAATTATCGACAAATAACAAGTGAGGGATAACGTCACTTCGAACCTTTTTCACCTAATAAATCCTTGATGACTTGACACAAGCGAGTAGATACAATTTATAAGAGAAACACAGGGCTACTGTCGCGCACCCAATCGCATATTATACGGAATCGCTCGTCCAATTTACTTTGACATGCGCCTAATTCAAGGACAAGTCGGAGCGCTTCGAGTCGCTTTGCGTACACAGAACACTGTATATACACCATATTGAATATTTGATATTGACATCTATTAAACGCCGATTCTCTCTACATGCCTGTGTATCGGTTATCGTGAAATCTGTAAAATACTCTTTAATATAATTTAATATATTAAAGACTTAGAAGACTCTTTTCTAAGTTGGATTTTGGATTGAGACATAAGGGTTTATCGGAATTACTTTTAAGGTGGTAACTAAAAACTATATTTTATAACTAAGTATATAATATATACTAAGTTCTAGAATATTATATTTGACAAGATTACTAGCTAAATACTGTCTATAGTTTACGCGAATAGTACACATTAAAAAAAACGCTTAGCGGTTTAAAACGCGATATATTAGTTAAACTTATTTGAAAATAAGAAGAAAATACTTAACATTTATTTTAAGTTCTCGAAGCGCCTTCAAATAGCTAACTGCTTTTTAATAGTCTAACTCGAAATACAGCTATAACTCAGTGTCGGCGGAGTAAAAAAAAACAAGGCTGTCTGAAGGGAATAAAATATTAATGTAAGCCTGGGTAAGTTAGCTGATGTCAAACCCGATGTCGTGTGAGTGTCTCACGCACGCCAAGTCGCTTGTCCAATTTACCTTACAGTGATGTGCGTCTTACTTAAGGATTTCAAGTTGCAGCATTAGGGCTGTCAATCCAAGCATTCAATTCATCCATTCTAAGTCTATGATGTGTTTAATAATAAGTTTGCTTGTTCTTAGTCTTTAAAGTTTAAAAGTAATGTCTAATAGTATGTATGAATATAAGAAGACTAAAAGTCACCACTTTTTGACGTCGCCAGTTCTTTTACCCTACATTTTTGTGTATACGTACTATAATTTAAAATTGTTTTCTTCTACTCACTTTACTTATAAGTTTATTACTCAACTTCCACTTAATTAGTTAATCCTTCACAGTAACTTATTGAAGGAGGTAAGTAGTTCTGGAAATTCACTCCAAAATTTCGGGTATGAACTATAACAGATAAAATGGGAATGTACTAGTTGATCTTGTTGTTGACCATATTAAAAATAAATACGCAAGAGTTTTTTTATTGCAGATCTTCCATGTCTAAAGAACATTTTATTTAAAGTTACTTTTTTGTATTTTCCTGGAGGAAGGGTTTGCTTGCAATAACAAAGAAAAAGTCTAAATACATTACTTTTATATACCCACATAAAAACGATTACATGTATGTTTACAGTAAGATGAAAATTTACTGCTAAGCTAGTAGGAATAATAAAATTGTATATGTCGCATGACATAGTGCAACCCGTTAACATATACAGTATAATTTTCAAACGGCCCGGAATTTTCCATAAATAAAATCAACATATGATATTTTGTAATTCTAGCGTAGTTTATGTGGAAACTTGCCAAGTTCAATTTAGTCTTTGTATCTCTCGTTGTGGTCAATTTCCTTCCGTTTCCAAGTTTCATATTCTCAACTGTGGAGTTTGTGTGGAATTAAATTCATGTCTTCAAGTGCATCTTATATTTTTCCCAAGGAAGTCGACTTCATTTGCTGTTTCGTATGAATACTAAATGATTTAAAGTTTAGTTTTTATCCGAAATGTAGACTTATTTATTTTAATTCACGAGTATAACATATAACAATAGAATTTTAAAAAGTTTACATTTTCATATCTTGTACTTGTTTTAATAACTCTTTAAATAAAACCGAAAGTGATGTATAAAAATAAATAAATATATATATTTTTTATAGAGGGACATCGTTTCGGACATTAAATATAATAACATACCGTCCCGGTCACGAACCACCGTCCACAGATGAAAAAGCCATGAATCATTTCGGTTTCAGTCTGTGGATTTCCGAATATCCAAAGCCAAAATCGATCGACAACATATCTTGTTTAGATTACTGAGGTATTTCTCCTACCATCAAGACCTATATTGCTGAGGTATTTTATTTTCTTTCAAGTGATTCTTTTGCCGTTCCATGCCTCTTTCTCTGTCATAAAGGAAATTGTTTCTATCTATGTAATGTCTATATGGAGACAGTGTCTGCCTACCCATTTAAAACAACTATACGAGACTAAATACATTAAATTGTAAGGGTTGTTAATGAAGCGACCCGTTTGCGACGGCCTTATTTAACTGTAACAGCATTTGTTCGTCGTTGAAAGTGATAATGACTTTAAAAGTTGTCAAATTGTCGCCAAGTGCTGGAACGTCGAGTGAAGTTCGGAAAGTATGTGCGTCACTTATGAATGTATCGTGTCCCTGGATTGATTGATGATAGGGGCATTGATCGCGCAATAAATTCATTATGTGCTGGATGATCGGACACGTTTAGTCGCCGTAGATGTTTTCAAGAAAGTATTTGGTTGGAATAGTTGACGCTGAACTATAGCATTTTGGGGATAGGCTTAAAAATAAGACAAAATACCGGTGTTGGACATTTGGAAATGGGGAATTTTAAATGAAAACGTAGATTTGTTTTTTCATTTTCCATATATACGATATTTTTTCAATATTTCTAGAACCCATTTAATGACCAGACGGGCCTAAATGAAGATTACTCCGTATTTTTTGAAGTAGATATGTTCAAATCGGCGACATATCCAGAAACCATGGTCCGGTGGTTCCAGACCAGAATCTACGAGGTGAAAATGAGATATATAACCATGCCAGAATCGGAAAGAGACTCAGAATCAAGATTTCTTTAATTAATTGAATATACCGATACCATACATTTCAACCAAACCCGTATTCGAAACCTGGACTCTTATGATCGGCAGTCCAGAGACCATGCTATCGAGGTAGTTACGGCAGGCAACACAAAATCGAAACACTTAAGACAGAATAAAAACATACACAAGACGATGCGGTATTTCTTATTACGCAAACATTTAAGAGCTGAAAGATAAACAGTCGGTTTTCCTTCTATTAGCAATTCACTTGTGGATTTTGGGAAGAATATTGAATAAGATGGAATCATCTTTCTAACCACGCACACATTAGTGTTCCGCGCTCCGAAATATGTGAGGTTGTGTTGAAATATGGATGGGGTGATAAAAAAAGCATATAGGCCATTGATACACCGGTCACGTCTGACCAAGAGGCGAGTTGACCCTAAATTGGTCCGCGACGGCCCAGCGGTGTCCTTACTCCGAGGTATTGATAAGTGGAATTGAAACTCGTATTTGCGAATATTTGGTCGTGTGTTTTATACTTATCACATTTGGTCATTTGCATAGTGATTAAATGAAATTTCTATTATCATAATAACTCTTCACGAAATTGTTGCTAGTGGGACCTTTTTAACGACAAATTGTTCGTAAAAAAATATAAGAAACCGCATTTAACAGTAACTAAACTATTTCTAAAAGTTGTTTTACCGTAAGATAATATACGTTATACAATTTCCACTTATTTTTTATAATTAACTACTTCTTTATTATTTTTGATAACAATTGATTATTCTTTAAGACTTCTGCATACTAATATATAAAGCTGAAGAGTTTGTTTGTTTCAATGCGCTAATCTGAGGAACTACTTGTTCGAATTGAAAAAATAATTTTGTGATGGTTAGAGCATTTATCGAGATAGGCTATAAAACATCACGCTGTGACTATTAGGAGCTATTATTAAATATTAATAAATCAGTTAACGTATTTACACACGGTCATATTTACAGTACGATCCGACTTTTTTTGCATCGGCCGTGATCACGAGGGACTAAAGATGGAGGGAGTTCCTTATGTCAATGTCGAATGTGCTACGTTGGCGCCATCCAGCGTAGTTAGTAGCTTACGAAATTGTCGTAGTTGATATTTAAAAATGCTATAGTTAAAATCATTTGTTAATAAGTTAATTAGTACGTTTCGCGTTTTAAACCATTGAAAGTGTTTTATATCTACAATCTAGTGTGGTGCTCTTGCTTACTTCAAACATTACAAAATAAAAGTTTATTTCTTGGACAACATATTTTTACAAACCTTGGAAACTTAATGCTATATAGGTACAGATGCTATTTAGGACTTAAATTTAGTGTAAGGTTATTATTTAATTAATGGCTCAAGTGTATCACAAAACAAACCACACGAGTGATATATAAAATTCTTTTCAATGGAAATACAACACCAGACTGATATTGTTGTTGTTCCTAAAAGCGAAAGGCGGTATAATATCCTTTTAAAAGTGTTTTACTTATAAATACATATTATATTTATATACCTACTAGCTATGCCAGCGATTTCGTCTACGTATAATAGTTATTTTGGGTATCAAAACATGTTCTTTTCTAACCTTGCTCCTATTAGTAGCAGCCAGAAGTTTTATACTCTAAAGTCTTCCTCAATATTCCCGAGATAAGCGCGTACAAACAATCGTATTTTTCTATTATATTTTATTTAGTTTCAAATAATCAACTTTATCAAATTTTAAATCCTTTCACAGTATTTTGTTTAATCACATAAACACACTGCTTTATTTGCATAATATCTTTTGTGTGGCAGAGGAGAGACAACTTACGGGTTCACTTGAAAGGTGAAATAGCCCAGTCATATAACATCTCAACAAGATGTGCTGCCGACCTTTTTATCTTTTCATATAGTTTATGTGTCAATCTCAAAACAAATTAAACTACACTTATGCGTGAAGAATTCATAATATCATATGAGCAAATATTTTTGCGAGATTATTTCCCAAATACACTTTAGGCTAGGTACTCACTGGTGACTAGTAATTGTTCAAGAATGTTTGACGTAGGAAATCAGTATTCTTAATTCATAACCGGTATTATGATCAGTGAAACAACAATAAACATTTTTTCGTTCCTTACTCCACGAGGGTAAACGGAATTTCACTTTTATACGATTTAATTATAATTAAATACAGAAAAATTCAAAGGTTTCGTTTACTATTTTTGCGGGCAACAATTATTCATTTGTTGACAATCCTGATGGAACCCGAAATAATAAAGGGGGTTGGGGCATATAGATCTATATAATGTTAGGTAATTGACCCTTTATATATGCCATTGGTGGTGCCGAAACCGATGCCACAGCCTTTGCAAAGATTCTCAAGTTCAAGTTACTACTCGCCAGTGAGTAGCCGGCATTAGACGAGTACCAGTTCACATATCAAACAATTTCTCTCGAACAAACTGTCGGCGGATCTCTCAAGTTTGTGTCAACATTTACGGAAGTCATAGATGAAAATATGGGTGGGCCAAATTGTTTGTAATAACAGAAGTTACCGAATGTGCCAGAATTTGTTACAAAGGTGAATATTATTTTAGGCTATCGCGTCGCCATAATTCATCGGACAATACTGTGGACCTGCAGCCAAGCTAAAGCTACAGAACGGAAACGAAATTCGTTAAGAATAATTGCGTAGGACTGACGTATGATTTAGTTTTATTGTGTTAATTACTGTAGCTCGCACTTTTTTCCTAAAATGTGTATTTCTATATATCGCCATTGAATTATTTTATAACTCCAGACGTTATTCCCATTATTAGTTTGGGTAAGATAATATATAAACCCTACAATGTGTGTTTTCCGATTTTATTACAATTTACTAGCTATATAAGACCTGGCCTGGTTCTTGCGCCATATGAAGTATTTCGAAGAAATTTAATTCCCGTGAAAACGGTTTTTGAAGAGTAATTATTGTTATAGATTCTTTGCGCATCATGAGTCTTTTTCGCAGCTCACACATAGAAAATCCAAAAAGATTAATAACTTTCTCTCTGTCGTTCCCATTGGTCGCAGCGAGATTTTAAATAGCCTAAACTACCTAGAAAATGCTCTACAAATAATCAAATTCTTCTTTATTATAATATAGGATTGTAGGACCACAGCCTAACAGAATGAACACGAAACATCGTTTTAAAATCACAATACCCACATAAATGGATACAATTGTTCAGTATAGAAACGTCGTAAATGCCAATTAGAGCACAACTACATCCAGCAATTATCCAGTCTATAAAGGGATGACGAGCCTAATCCGACCGCGGCAAACTCAACGCTATTGACAGAGAGCTGTATCGGAATAAAACAGCCACAGAGGTTATGCTCAAAGAGAATTTACATATGAATTATCACTAGAGAGAATTATCCTGGTACCTTTGTAGTCATATCATCGAATATTGAACTCGACGTGAACCGCATAGCATAAAAGATCTATAGCGCGCCTACTCTATGGCTTAGTTCCGAAATGGGGACGTGGTATGTGAACGATTTAGTGGTTTCTACTCGATGGACTAATACACAAACTAATACTATAGCAGATGTGCTATAGTATTAGCATGTTATGATAAAGGACAATTGAAATTATGATGATTAAAATGTTTATTTTCACATAGCACGTGATGGCAATAAGTCTGTAGATCACACGAGCAGTAGTAGTTTTCATGGGCTAGTTGTGATAGTAGCAATTTATGCTTGACTATCAATCGGTCGATCCCCACCGTGTTTTCCAACATATTTCTACTTTTTCAATGTATATATTGTTTAAAAATATTGGACTTCGTCTGGAAATCTGGATATTTAATGGGTGGTAGGAATAAAAAATAATATTATAAAACTAAAGAGTTTTTATGAAACATCACTCTGCGACAAAAAGTTTCGAAGAAACAGTGGGACACGAGGAAAAAACGGGGAAAATTATTCATATCTGCGGATAATCGTCGCTGTGAAAACAAAATAATCAAATATATATAGAATGATGCCTCTTTAAACGATCTAAAAATTGTCCGCAGCGGTAAATGTCTATATTTTAAGATTAACTTGTAAGAACGACGGGACGCGACGACATCGTGGGTAACAACGAACAATTATAAAGATGAGGGAGAGGATTGCAATAACAAATTGTGTTGCGCAAAACAATTATTGTACGCGAACGAAGTGACGGCTACAGCTAGTCTTAAATATTTCAATCACATTATAAGTTCTAGAACATCTTCACCTTATGTAAGCCTTATAAGTGCAATACGGTGGTTGCATTTGCCATTCTACACTACGAGCTTATAATCCGAAATCGATGAAGATTATATGAAATTCAACGTCGCGTTCGGTGCGAAGGGTTTGAAATTCGAACGTTATGTACATTTTGTTTCTCGTATATTTAGTGAACTATCATCGCAACTAGCAGGTTCTGGGTTTGAATTCTGCAGAAAAAAATAATTTTAAATGAACTCGAGAAATTGATTGCGTGTGGAACTATATTTTAAAGGTATGAAGACTTTTTTAGGGAGAATACCTACCACCCATTTACGGTCAAGATTTCCAGACGAAACGACTTCGGAGACCTCGGAGATCGAACCAACGACTCGTTGATATAATTTTCAATGATTCATATGACTAATACGAGTGATTCATTATAGATTTGATTTAAATTATGGTTTGACAGGTCACTTCGAAATTAGATAACTGTCAGTAATAAAATAGATTGGAGAAAGGGGAAGTAGAATAGGGGTGTTTTTTTGTAAAAAAAAAAATTACTCGGTGAGTGATTGTACTTCTACAAAATGTCAACCACAAATATACTAATATACACTGTTAACTTTTTATAAAATAAAATGAGATAATTATTTATTAAAAATAAATGGTTTTTATTAAGATTGTCTTCAGGATTTAGATACAGGTATACATTAATTAAAGGCTATTCAAATTTGATCCGAATTTTGCGTTGGAGGTAGCTACACAAATTAGTTGATACATAACAAATAGTGATATTTACTTAAAAATGTTCGGTTTTTTAATTATCGTAATAGAGAGTTTATAGGTACTGTAGTTAAATTGTTTGTTGACGCGTATAATTTAAATAATTATTCTTTGTTACACACAGTAGTTTGGAGCAAAGGCAAAGCATAAAGCAAGCCAAATTTCTAGCAAAATACCTGACTGCAGTAAGCTTTAGAATAATGTTCAGTGAGCTTTTTGCATTCATTTTGGGAATGCGAGGCTTCGTCACCTTTTTTCAGATGCAAAAAAATATTTAAACAACATTGCCTAAAAATAACAACTTTTAAACGGAACTAACGCGAATGTTTTTCATCAACTATAGTCATGGGAGAACCAGCTGGTACAATGCATCCAAACCGTCAGATCATAGTAAAACATTTCGAGTTTTAATCTAGTTAAAAGGGTCTCATTTAAATACAAACAGTGCGCCTCGGGTATTTATTAGTATTAAAAAAAACATTTCAGAAGTTATACAATTACACACACACACACACTTCCAAACGTCTTCTTAAATTTTTATGAGAGTTTAATTAAATAAGTTAGTTTACAAACGATAATATTTAATTATAAAATGAATAAAATATAAATTCCTTAAAAGCACTTTTTAGTTTTTAAGTTTAAATTACGGTGTTATCGATATTAGTCACGTTCTCTATTGGTTTCTAATTTTTTATTTGTCCAGGAAGGTTTTGGAATAAATTGTTTGTTTATTTCGTAGATACTATAATTTCTACGTGTTCTAGGTATAATTTCTAGGGTACAAATTTTTTTCCTAGTATACAACCAGGTAAATTCCTTTTCGTGCATATGCTCGCCGTTATATCTCATGTCAAATCGATACAACCTTTCATAAAGTGACGAAGTTGTCAACTAATTCGGCATAATATGGTGTCACAACATTTTTTCTAGATAATACGTTCTACAAAATCGTAGCACATTGTTTTGTTCTATAATCAAAATATTTCGCAGCGCGTGCACCGAAAGGCGTACAATAGCAATTTTTTTTACACAATAGATTTCGTTTAAAAGTTTTCGTAAGGATCCTTAATCATTTCTAGCAATGAATAGTTTATTAGTAAAAGATTTTTTTTATCGACTCCATAGTTTTAGAGTTTATTCATTACAAACATACAAATCTTTCGTCTTTGTGTTAAAAGTATGGACTCTAAAAGAAGCATATTTGATCACGTGTGTTTAATAAGAACAACTGAATGAGTTAACCTCACGTACCAAGTATTTATCGGTATAATCCGATCTTGTTAATAGTTTATCAGCCTTTGTCAAGGCTTTCAAAAATTTGCATACATATAGTACATATCGCTCATCGCTTGTTTTAAACCAGTTTGAGGGTTGGGACAAGAGTATTCTCGAACCACCTCTTCAAAATTCAAATGGAAGAAGTGATTCGGAGTAGTCAAGTCAAAGTTACATTGGTTTCAGTTAGTACTTATGTAAAGTGGACAATACTTTGATTGCATGATCTACTAAGTTTCAACGCCATCTAGGAAAGAGACAGTTAATTAAAATGTCATACTTTGTAAACCGATAGAATTTTTTATCTTATGGTTCACTTAAAGGCGTAGCGGCGCGTTGCGTTAAGCACAGTCCTGGGTTTGAATTCTGGGTAAACAGTGAACTGCTCAACTACTTGTTAAAAAATTCAATTGATCAGAAAAATGGAAATATTTATTGTATTCAACATCGAAACGAACTGCTGTACTAAATACTTTCGAACGGCGAACGTTGAACGTTGAATTCTAATGTATTTTTTTTTCGCCAATTAAAATTACATGTTTATATTATGCAGACATGTTTCAGTCTATCCGTGGTACACCTAATCAACACACAGTACTATTACTAAAAATTTTCTGATCAGATCAACAAAAGTCTGGTTAGTCTATTGGTTAGTAGGCTTGACTAAGAATCCCGGGTCAAAAAACAACGCAGAGGTGACAGTTGGTTGTATCATTATACATATTTCGTTTGTTTGAGATATTGCCAATTATTAGACAAACAAAGTGAAAATTATACAGTTCGTATTATTCTATCAAGTTTGCAGTGCGAGTTTCTTTGTTTTACGAGAATGTGTGAATAAAGACGATTTTGAGTTCAGCTGTTTTGTGCTTGTCAACAAGTGTCTTGCGTTCTACCCGCATTATCAATGTCGTTATTATTAGTAACTTGAGAGGAAAAAAGCTTTATTACGAGATAAGCGATTTGAAGCGTTGAATCTGCAAAAATTTATAAAGATGTTTGGGTAACGTTCTTAAAAATATTGTTAAAACTCAACAAATATTGCACACAACGCCATCTAGTGGCTCCTTAATTAACTTCTTTAACAGATCGATTGAGCGTTTGATCCATCGAGAAAATGCATTGTGTGTGTTTTTTGTAATTGCTACAGATGGCGTTAAATGCACAATGTAATATTTACCTATACAAGAATTGCCCGAAAATATCTCGATTTTAGCAGACTTAACTTTAATCGACGCCCTTGCCGGTCTGCATTATGAGTGATTTGGCCTCCTCGAATGACTTTTGTTGTTTGCTTTTGCTCCATCGTCAGAGTCATTTGAATGCTTCAAACAGGAAATATATTGTAGATCTGAAATCAGCTATATCATTCATTCTTAAGTAGAATGAAAGATGTGGCGCCTAGGAAATCGACGCTCGAAGAGACCGTATGCCAACAGGACACAATATATCAGCATAGAATGAATGAAGAAGTTGAATCAGTAAATAGACGCCTTCTTGATTTCGACCGTCTCGTCTTCGTTTCTCCGTCTCATGACTGAGATGGAGATCACGGGAGTTTCAGAAACGGTGAAAATAGCATGTTGCAAATACATTAGCCAAAACAATAGCAGTGTCGCTGTCCGAGTCTTATATTGTCTTACCGTGCCAGTTTTCTTAATACAACAAGCAATCAAAGCGATTCACGGCGACATCTTTACGTACGCACACTGTGATTGCGTGATAATCTGTTTAAGGCGCGCGTGCGTCGGGGGGCTGACATATAAATATTTTTACATACACGAGCGACATTAGGAATTTTATCGCAATACTTTTCATAGCACGGTAGAACGCTTTATAATGCAATTGGAGCTTTGCGTGGTAAGAGTGAGTTTATGTAAGGTGTGATCCCATCATAAACATAAATTATGTAAAAAAGTGGAGCCGAGTACAAAAGAAAAATTGCGATTTGCTTCGCCGTAAAAAGAATGGAGATCGAAATAGTGCCAAGTTCTATGCAAAATCCAAGTATGTACTTATAGGAACAAAAAATAATATTATGTTTTAATATAGGTACCTGGTATTTAAACAAAACACCGTCGGATCTTGGTTAAAATCATTTATAGATGAATTTAAGTAATATACTTCGCGTTTTAAGTAATTAATATGCTACCTTTTTTACAGTTTGCAACCAGTATACAAGAGGTGCGGTGGCCATGCTGGGCTCTGTTCCATCAGACTCCTTCGACACTCTCCACTCGTATGCTAATACTTTTCAAATGCCTTTCATCACGCCTTGGTTTCCTGAAAAGGTAAATACTTATAGCCAACCTCTTTTATACATATACGTTAATTTTCGTCCAGAATATGTCGGGACAAACACATAGTTTTAGTGCACAATTATTCATTGGAGTAGGTCTAGTGTCTGGACCTCCTCGGGACCCAAAGAGGAGATGAGATTAATTCCCTATGTGGACGAGCACACATTCGCCAATATGATTTCTCCCGTCTCTTTCTGACAAACCTGAAATATCTTGCGTTAAATAAGGAAAGAATATAATAGTTATCTCCGTCAGTGGTTATTATTACCTTAATTTTATTTTTCGTTTGGAAATCTGGATATTAAAATTTTCATTCGGGTCGTGAACCACATATATAGAAGCCGTGAAGGTTTAACGCATATCAGTTTCATCAATCCATGCAGGATTTCTAATTATCCAAAGCTAGAATAGGTCCACTGATGTGGAGCATCCAGCCAGGATTTTATATGACTGGGATGTTTCACCTTCCATTAAGTGAACCCCAAGCATCATAAAAACTAAACCATAACTGTACTCTTCTGTAAAATTTTACTAACCAAACATTTTTACCATCCATTACCAACTAATGTTCAATTCAACTGTCTCCCAAAACAGTCCTTGATCGTCGCAAGATTCAAAATGGCCGCCGTTGATGCATGACGTATTCGGGTGTTAAATCAGCAAGACGTTAGTTAATCGGAGCGATCTGTTGCGGTGACTTCAATTACAAGCATCTCAGTTCAGCACTCGGCCATCCAGCCCTGTTGTTAACAAATTGTATTGGATATAGATATAGAGTATAGAGCATTTGGAGATTATTCATTCACCGATTGACGGACTAAATTACTGTGCACGCCAGAAAATGTTTGCCACCTCTGGTCATAATTTAATGCACTATGTAGGTCATAGGCATTAATTTGATGCGTGAATCTTTAAACGCACCGATATATGCTGGAATAGAGTATGAGTTATTAGATGAGAATATGTTGGCTTTTGTATTTATACAGATGAGATATGTGTTACATATCTTTATATAAATACACTAGCTGAGTCAGCGACTTCGTCCGCATAGAATAGTTATTTTGGGCATCCACGTGGGTTACCTACGTCATTAGACGCGTCCCGTCGCTTGCGACCCTTCGTTCGGTTCCCGTCGTTCTTGCGAGTTCATTTTAAGCGGTAGACATATTATACTGTCGCGAAAATTTTTTTTGATAATTGAAAGAAGAATCATTCTCAGATACATATTTTCAATGTATCTATTTCTATCATTTAATGTATCTTTTAAGATTAACTTGCAAGAACGACGGGACCCGACGACGGGTCGCGACCGATGTCGTGGGCAGCTTAAATTTATGAAGATGTAGAGGTTTGCAAAAACAAATTTGGATGCTCAAAACAACTATTCTACGCGGACAAAGTCGCTGACACCGCTAGAATATAATAAGTAATGACTTACACTTCTCTTGCATCCGAAAATCGATATTATATGTTTATCATTTTCGGCTTCGATCACGATTAGGACACCAGCTTTACAATATAAACCGTCCCATTTCAATTAAGAATGTAAAATATATTTCTCGTTCCGCACGATTGAACGTTAATTTTTCGTCAAAGATAATATTAAGCGAAATAATTCCAATTACTACATACTATTCGTGCGTGTATAATGTAATTAAAGACGTCTAGTTCCTGCGACACATAGTGTTCGCAGTGCAATCGACATTCCCTGTCAGAAAGTTATGAACGGAACTTCTACCTTTGGGACGACGAAAAATCGATATTAGAGAGCTTTTGATAAAGGAACACCTTCAACATATCACGCGTTCCTCAAATTGCTTTTAAATAAAACACTTTAAACTCGAAGTCAAAACATCTATTCATGTAAGTACACTTATGAACGTCACATCAACAAAAACAAAGTAATTTAAACATTGTAAAAAACGGTTTACTCTCGAAAAATTAAACCCCTTTTCCAATGGGTGAACTCCTCGCCGTATTACTAATCGATTTGTTTCCCAATTTTCCCGGGATTCAAACTCAAGAAATCTACTTGACGTGTTTAAGCTTCGTCGTGTCTGGTATTGTCTGTCTTGTGTGCTTTGTGGTGGTGATAAACGTTCTGGTTACGTTAGAAAAATAATCTTCTTATCTTTATATAGGTGCTGTACATTTAGACGCTCAAGTTAATTAGATGGTAGACAGTCAGTTCTATTTAACAAGCAGATGGTCATGTGGTTTTCATCATATTCATTAAAAGATTTAAAGTGTGGAGTCAATGTTATGTTTTCATATTGACTTATGTATAATTAATTCCTCTGTACAACGCGTATTTTTTTAGGTTAGATACCATGAGATTCAGTTGATGGGTAGTGAAAAGCCCAAACTTATTAAAGTCCAAAGAAGATGCCTTTAAAATAGAACACTTTAACCATATAAAACGCGATATATTTTGGTTAAACTTATTTGGAAATTATTTTAACTACGGCCTGACGTTTCGGATCCTTTGCAGTTTTATTTAAATGTGTACTAGCCACGTAAACCACAGACAGAAGATGCGTTGTCAGCCCATTAAGGCTAAATTGGTCGTGGCCATGTTATGAATTAATATTCGAACTTGCGGACCTCGTAGAACCCTTAGCTTCTCTAATCAATACACTGTATAATGTAGACGCTCAAAAGATCAAAGAGGGCATTTTCGTCAAAATTTAATTTCGCCAGGAGTCGGACAAATTGCTTCAAGTGGTAAGAGTTTTAAGCCCTCCCTTTTTTGTTTAAACATAATTTAAAATTGTCTCGTGATAGCGTTTATGAAATAATTCGGGGATAAATAAATTATGTGAACGAAGCCGACTTCGTAAAGCTTTATTAAAGGTTATGAAAGAAAATATTGTGTCCGCATTTTGGGCTTGGGAGGTCACCTCAGATTGTACATCTTTTACAGTTGTCATGTATTTTTTTTATTAGAAACGACAAATTAATTGTAGAATGGAATGATTGTTTCTGTAAAGTGTATATAATTAATAGTATTCATTTATGAAAACTTTAAGATTCACACAATGACGTTATATATGATTATATATATATATAAATGTTTATATTGAAAAATTTTGACGACACAGGCGTTGAACTGACATTCCATCATCATAGCGTTCCGCTTTAACTAATTAAGCAACCTGGTAGCTAGTAATTTCAACCTTAACCTTAATTGGTTGTTGAAACCGACATAGAAGTGTGTTCGCTCCATACTTCAAAGGGAATTTTTACATAAATTATCAAAAGATTAAAATATTATTACTATACTCTCTACATTGGTATATAACTCAATATAGGTCTAACGTTGTTTTGATTGATAAATATCTATACTAATATTATAAAGAAAGATTTGTATTTTTGTATGGAACGGATAAATTCAAAAAGTACAAGACCGATTTAAATAATTATTTTTTAATTAGAAAACTACATTATCACTGAGTAACATAGACATATATTTAATACTAGATTACTACAGAAATCTTTAGAAATTTCTATGAAAACCAACGGAAGGCGTAAAAAAATTTTTGCCGTAAAATGTCTTTCTTCGCATACGTTGCGAAAAGTATTAATGACAGGAACGAAGTGCAATTGTCGCAGCTATACGAATGACAGTCAAGCGCCGAGCGCTCGCAGAGACTTCAAGAAAAAGAGCTAGAGATTCGCGAACGCGTGCACGGTACTGTAACACTGACCGCTCGCAGCGGCTAGTGACACAGCGAGATAGACAACGGTCGTTAACAGCTAGGACGCGCAATACTTTTATTTCTAATTTAATGATTCATGGTCGTTTTAATTAGCATGCTTATAATTTAAATATCTGTACCTATTTATGTCTACCCCTGCGAAGCCGGGACGGGCCGCTAGTCAAAGATAAACTTATATTTTAAATATTATTGTAATATTTAATCACTAACTCCGCGGTGCCACTTTTGATTAATGATTAATAAGTCGATAAAAAAAAAATGTTTGTATTTAGTGAAAGCTTTTTAAAATTACAAGTGAACTCGCAATTCAGTTAAAATTACACCTGATATCATAGCTCGACTTCCATCCTCGTGTTCCCTTACCTTACTCCGCTTATATATATTATAAAAATTTAAAAGAATATTATTCAAATTAAAAATTAAAAATTTAGATTGAAAATAAACGGTACCGGCGGCTCTTGAACCGGCATCCACAGAATTCCGTGCTGCTGCTCTAACCACGGTAGCTCAATTTTAATTTGTATATTGTGCAATAAAAATACTCTTAGCCCATACTATTACTATACTAGCCAATAAATGCGTTCAAACGATCATTTTAATTCTATATAGATGTCAAATGTAGCTTACCCGAATCTTGTTTATCCATATCTTTTACCCGATTGCTCAAAGAGGATTATGGGGTGTTACCGTGCCTTTAGATGGAAATATTAAGCGAGATTGACTAGAAAGTCGTCAAGGCAGACTCTCGTCCTCTAAAAAACTGGTCGTTCGTTGGTGTAATGGTAAAAACATACGGCTAATAATCAAAGGGTTCGATCCCCACCGTGTCCAACATTTTTTTAATCAATTTATGATTTTTCATTTATGTTAACTGCGGCCTGACGTTTCGGAAGATGGATGGGACACCCCATTAATTGATATCTAGAAGCCATCCACCCAGTTGAAATTTGTAATAAGTTAATTAATATATTTAGCCTTTTAAACCGTTAAAGTGTTATTTATAAATATGTATTCCTCGTGTTACTCGTGTGCCTACAGACTATCACAAAGTAGTATATCAAATGTATCAATAATATTACAGGTTTAAAAGAGGCTAAACAAGTGTACACTACATTGTACTTACAATTTATGATAATTATTAGTTTTTTAAAGATTTTGAATAAAACATAAAATTATAAATATCGATAGCTAGGCGAAGTATATACTAAATAAACACTGTTAGCGGTTCAAAGTGAGATATTAATTTTAATTTTAACTACTAAGCGACTCGGCTCGGCTTACTGTTGTAAACAGTATTTGGGATTTTCAACCGTTGAATTAATTAATCTTGTTCACCATAAGCGTAATATCAAAACTGGCTATATTTTATTCAATATATATAAATTCATTTATTTTTAACTAATACACTACTCGGCTTGCGATTTTAAAGCGTAGTTTTTCGGATTTAAACCGTTGAATTCTTTTATTCCGTCCACCATAAGTGGAATATAAAATCTAATTATATTGTATTCAAAATGGCTTTTCTTAACTCTATGGAGACGGTGTTAAAATATTTAGGAGCCATTAATATTGTCACTTTTTTGGAGCGAAAATAATTTTATGCAATTTACCGTCTTTATGGAGCAATATTTTGATCGAAGTAAGATATTTTTCCTCGGGAAATTTTTCTTTAAAAAGCACACCAAGTTGATGATGCAACATTACTTGAGTTATTGCCGAGGGATTAGAGCTGAATGCTTATATTTTTATAACTTTAGCAAAATGGAATACTGACAGGAGACACTTAAATTTCATCTATCCTAATATATAAAGCTGAAGTTCGTTTGTTTGTTTGAACGCGCTAATCTCAGGAAATACTGGTTAGAATCAAAAGTTTTTAGGTCAGTCTATATAATTTAAGAAGGTAGTATTAGTATATACTGCTGTTACCATCACATTTTCTATTTCCACTTTCCTATATTATGATAGTTTTCCACTAAAATACTTGGACGTGATCGAAATTTCCTTTTATAATAGTTTTAACCAAGGCTACTTAAACGTCCAAATACCTAATAAGTAACTTTGTTGTTCAGGTAAAGTAAGCTAGCGTAAGCATGCTCGAGCTAAGCAGTAACAATACATAACAAAATTTTACTTGGCGTGTTATTGGCTTCAACATATATAAATGTTTATATGGAGATATTATATATGATGTAAAAAATACATGCTAAGCATCCAAAGCATCGGGCCGTAGTTACAATAAATTAAAACTAAGTTAACTAGTCAATTTTGCATTTAAAACAGTTAAAAATGATTCATTTAAAATAACGTTGTGAAATGAAATTGCATCAAATCAAAAAATACCAGGAGGTATAAGACGCTGATGCAAAGCGCCGTTTTCGAAGTAAACCTCCCGACGTTCCTCGACCACAAGTACCCCCTGTCTTTTCACAGAAGTAAATAATAACTAACAAACATACGAAACAAAGTGCATAAGAGAAAAATCGAACGAAAGTTCAATGAATATTAAGTTAGTTAAAATGTTTAAATTTTTTAAATGAACTGAATTTCTTTATTTTATTCTTCCGAATCCAATTAATTATTATTTATTGAAAATAATTTTTCACTTTAATCTTGATATGAATGCTTAAATGAATACATCACCATTACAATTCGTTTTTCGTTCAATCTCTCTTCCATGCGAACTTTAAAGCAATACCTATACATATATTATAAAGCCGGAGAGTTTGTTTGTTTGAACGCGCTATTCTCAGGAAACATTTGCTCGAATTGAGTAATTATTCATCTTTTTGGGCTTCCGTTGCGTGCGTTGCGAAAACGGTTTAAAAAGATCTCTTGTTTAAAATTATGTATAAAAAATGACAGCGACAATATATTATGTCTATCTTGTAGCTTGTTTTAGGACTGCTCGACTCGTACGAAATTTATTTATTTAGGTCAAAATTAGAATCCTTCCCGGTACACATTTGGTACACATATTTACTTTAGATGACGATACAATATAATAATATCAAAAACATCATAAAACCAAGATGGCTGCAGATACAAAATGGCGGTTTACATATTTTCCCTTAACCCCCTCAATATGAGTATCAAATGAAAGGGCTACAAGGGCTAGTAAAATACGTCGATTATGTCAAAAAGTACATTTTTGTGGTTTTCAGTGCATAAAATTAAAAGTCTTTTTAGTTGATACTTGTATTGTAATTAAATTAGGTCGAAATTAATGCACTATTGGTTATAACCAATTATTCGTTAAAGTTGTATCAACATAATAATATAATAAGTGATAGTTACTACTTGTAAGGTTGTCTTAGCACATACAAGTCTTTCCTACCCATCCGGTAACTACCTACTACTTCATTCCTCGCATTTCCTCCCTTATTTTCGTTTTGTTTCAGCAATAATAAGGCGACATTCTACCTTTAAAAGCATTCTTCGAACTAATAAAAACTGTTTATCTACCAATGCAACATTTTCAAAGTGGATTTTGTTCTGAGTAATCTCTTTAAGTCAAAAGGTATTGACTTTTGTATATTAAAGTTTTTAAACATCTACCTACCCACATATTATAAATATGCGAAATGCAATTTTAAAAGTTTCTAGAGAAGCTTATAATAACGTCATGAAAAGCACTATTATAGCGTTTATTCGAATAATGAGCCTTTTAAAGATTAAAAAGACCGACTGAGTGCGGGTACAGTTCTCACGCGGATGGTTCCGCTCCGTTTATTAGTTAGGTAATACCAGGTTACACAAATTTCATATTGTATATTTATTATAACTTAATTCTTTATCGAAGCACATTGAGTAGTTTGATGTCATTACCATTGAAAGCATATCGGGCATTAAAGTCGCCTTTGTTGAATGGAAGTCCTCTAGATAAATACTGTCTGTAGTTTGCACGAGTAGTACAAATTTAACGGTTTCAAACAATTATTAAGCATTTATTTTTACGGTCCGACGTTTCACCGCCTCTGTAGACAAATGGTTAAACGTATTGCCTAGCTTTGCGTTATGCGCGAGAGGTCCTGGGTTTGAATCCCAGGGGAACAAAAAATAAGTTGTTCCGGTCGGGTTGGGCACAGAAGTCTTATCTACTACTTGCCCGTTAAAAAGAACGGATCAGTGAAACGGACACACAAAATATGTTCGCCTGTAAGTGTGAAATGCCGTTTCGCCCTCGTGGGGCGTGACGAGGGCGAAACGGCATTTCACACTTACACTTTTATATTTTTATTATATTATAGACACTAGCGGCCCGTCCCGGCTTCGCACGGGTAGACATAAATAGGTACAGATATTTAAATTATAAGCATGCTAATTAAAACGACCATGAATCATTAAATTAGAAATAAAAGTATTGCGCGTCCTAGCTGTTAACGACCGTTGTCTATCTCGCTGTGTCACTAGCCGCTGCGAGCGTTCAGTGTTAGAGTCCCGTGCACGCGTTCGCGAATTTCTAGCTCTATTTCCTTCTAGTCGCTGCGAGCGCTCGGGGCTTGGCTGTCGTTCGTATAGCTGCGACGATCTTGCATTTCGTTCTTACAAGACGAACTGAACGTTCGATGATAGATTCTCTGGCTCGCGATTGGGACGCGTAATACTTTCCAGGCGATCATTTTTAGAAGAAGACTCTCCAATACGACGAAATTGTGCTAATATCGCTAACTATTCTTAGGTATTTACTTTAAATCAGAAAAATTAAGAATAAACTAATAAGTAAGTTCCAAGTAATAATTCCGAAAAGAACTTTGACAAACATTATGCAAAGTGTGATTCTTAATACTATTATTAAGTAGCTCTGAAAAGAACTTTTTAATAAACCGTAAAACTGTTCAAAAAAAAGCGAAATATTCAATGTCGGTCCAGTACTTTTTGACTTTATTCATTACATACAAAAATACAAATCTTTCCTCTTTATAATATTAGTATAGATATGCAAGAATAATAATATAATAAAGTTGAAATTATATTGCGCTAGCGGTGCACGTATCCATAGGTTGAAAAATTCGATGATGCCGTTTAGGACACAGTAGCTCAATCGGCAACATCAACAATGTGAACATGGAAGGCTGTGGATGCAGGAACGAGTCCTGCCCGTGTCGTTATTTTTTTTCAGTCTAAACCCGATTTTGATCTATACAATATACTATTTTTTATTTTTTTTAGGTAATGCCCATGTCTAGTAGCACCACAGACTACGCTATAAGTTTGCGACCAGACTATCACCGTGCTGTCATCGATACCATTCTTCACTACGGCTGGACAAAAATCATCTACATATACGATTCCCATGATGGTAAGTAAGCAGCACTGAAATAATTTCAATAATAAATCTATTTTTGATTTAATTGACATGAGCGGGCAACGAACATGGTTACTGTGCTAAGTGGGCCAAAATTTAAAGCCACCAAAATCTCAACAAGATGTGCCGTCGACCGATTTTTCCTTTGGACTGAAACCCAGCAACACTATTAAACTTCACAGCTTTTCCATCTGTGTATGGTGCATCGTAACGCTGACGGAATTTCGATATTACTACCACTTTATATCTAGACTTGACGAAACCCAATCCGATCCGATGGTGATTGAACCCACGAACGACCCTTTTATTACTTGTAGTACACAAGTAATAAAAGGGTCGTGGTGGTATAACAATACCTTGCTACCATTCTCATCACATCTAACATCTATAGTGATAATAATAATAATAATAATAAACTCTTTATTGCACAAACATAGACATAAGAACATGGATACATAGAATTACATATACAAAATAAAACATGTTTGTGCAAAGGCGGCCTTATCGCCTATGGCGATTTCTTCCAGGCAACCTTTGCATGTAGAAATAAGAAATAAAAAAGATAATTTTGGAAAACAATCAAAAGTCAACATAAAAAATTAAATTATACAATAAAAAAGATAATATAAACTGGAAAAGATAATATAAACTGGAAAAGATAATATAAACTGGAAAAGTGGAAAAGTGAATTGCGATTCATTTATCAGTTTTGCTCATTACTTTCTATTTACATGAAACATATATTAGAACTAGCTGTGCCAGCGACGTGAGAATCGTTATTTTGGGCATCGAAATACGTTTCTTCAAACGCGATCATCTTTGTAAACTTAAGCTGCCACCCACGACGTCGGTCGAGTGCCTTCCCGTCGCTCTTGCTAGTTAATCTTAAAAGATAGACATATAACGTTGTGGACTTTTTTTAGATCATTTTAACAGGAATCGCGATTGAGGCTTATTGAAATTATAATTACGTATGTATTTATTAAAACCAAAGGTGTAGAGAGAAAACAAACAGGTTATAACTTTATACTATAATTGACGTTAATTTTTGTTGGTACCTAATCATCTTAGTCTTATAAAATTCGTTTTCAAAACTCCAAAAATAATATTTTATAATTTAATTTGTTACAATCATTCATTAACAAATAGGCTTTGTAAGAATGATGTTGCGCTAATCTACAATTTTTGTTTGGTGTCTTGAACCGTTTTCGCAGCGTACGTCTGGAACCCAAAGAGATGAAAAATTTTCCCGTTTTTTCTCATTTCCCGCTGTATCGTCGCTTTTTTTGGTCACTGCGCGATATTTGAGCCTATAGCCCTCCTCCATAAATTCTCTAACCAACACAAAAATATTTTTTGTTTTGAACAAGTAATTCCTGAGATTAGCGCGTTCAAACAATCAAACAAACTCTTCAGCTTTATATATTTGTACAGATAGATAGACAAACATACAGTTCATAATATTAGTAAACGTATATTATCCTAATGTATTCCATTATCAGTTTTATCCGTATATCGAATATGGATATTGAACTACGTAAACGTCAATCAACGGTGAATTATTAGCTTATTCAAATATAATGAGTTTTCACTATAGATTAAATTCATTAATACCTCACTAGAATTAACTAAATAAACATTTGGCAACGACGAATTATTATTCGTTTATGATATTAAGATCATCCGTGGTTTAATGATTGGTTAAAGAAGTCTGATAATTGTCTTGCCTGGTAGTAATATCGATTGATGATATAGACGACATATAAGAGTTCGCAAAACATAATTTTAGTTCTAAGCTTAATATCGCATTAGAATTGAATTTCTTGAGGTTACAGGAAATATTCGATACATTTCTATTTTTCCGCTGCACCCATTCGCAGAGTGTCAATATTTTTGACGGCATCCTCTCGACTTCTCGACTACGCTCTAATGTAACTCTTACCTAACGGTTTATAACTCTGAGGAAAGGATGGACTCGAGCAAATTTCACTGGAAGCTTGTCCTTGACAACCATCTTTATGTAAGTCGGATTTGTGCGAAATTTAAAAATGAATTTCGATTCATTTTTAAATTTTATTTCAATCTTCAGAGATACTGTTAAGAAATAAACTCATGTCGGTAGTAAGCAACAAATGATAAGCTGTACGTAAAATAAAACACTTATAACGGTTTAGAACGCGAATTATATTGGATAACTTTATAAATGTACTTTAACTACGGCCCGAGGGTACAGGTCGGATATTTTTATGCAATTAATGTTTTTATTTAAATATGTATTATACTACTCGCGAAAAAGACAAACAATCCTTAAAAACACGATTATTAAAATTTTTAAGCAAAAGTTATATTCGATTTTTTAATGACAAGACTGCCTGGCAGTAATATGAATTGCTCCTTAGGTTAATAAATTCACAACAATCTAATAGTTTATAAGACATGTTAAAAAACCGGTATGACTTTCTTGGGTGATCTTTTCTGTTATGTTGCTCTTTTGAACACTGTAGAATTACGTCCACACAAACATTTTTATGTTTTTTTTTGACAAATCTGAATAGTTTTTAAAAATTTTAAGCGAATAAAGTAAATTTAATTTTATTTATTTCATTGTTCATATTATATAGGTATACACAATACACATCATATTTTAGTAATATGTTAGTTTTCTTATTGCACTAGAACCTCGTTTTCTCGCTTAAATGTTTTGTACAATGTCTACTGTATAATCTCGTTAAGCAGACAAGATACACATTTATTGTTAATTAGCTAATGCTTGTCCCAAACTAACAGATTAACAGTTTAAATTGTCCAGCCATTCGTGAAATATCATGTTTTACAAATTGTTTATTTCACTGAAATTAATATGAACTTAATGAATTGCTTGCTAATCCGTCTCTATGCGAGAAACGCTTTTAAATTAAATCCGACATTATTAATTATTTAATTTTAAAATGTATTTAGTTTGAAAAAAATTCACGACACCGACTGGACTTGAACCGGACTGCAGCTTTCAGTGCTCAAACCAATCAATACATTCTTAATTTAAAAAATGCAATGCGCAATAACATCTCAAAAATAAAGTAGTTAGCTAGTAGCTAGTACCGGCTCCGATAAATGTTACGCTGTATCAGCAGGTTTGAATCCTGCTCGCGTTTTATTTTTATTGCAATACATTTTAAATTGTACAACTGTCACTTGTTTGTTCGACACATAGGACTATGTTTTTGGTTAGTATCTCTAAACGATGCCTATTTCAATTAAATTTCGGCAGAAAAAAATGTTATTGCAAAAACACTAGTTTTAGTAATTGTCGCTTTTAGGATTCCGTACGAAAAACGAATATTCGTTTTATTGTATATTATAGTCCTATGTTCTCTGTAACTAGACTCTGTCTTAAGGACTGCGACAGCTAGAGTCTTTTTTACAAAGATGTATTTCTGATGCGTTTTTAAAACACAATTTCAACGCACACAATACTAAACATTAACATTAGTATTCAAGGTGCATGATGAGGGCATTTAAAATATTTACTTTATAGTAGTGACACTATTAATTTAATTACAAATGGGAAACTTTTAACCAGTACAATACATTAGTCACCAAAATTTATTATAGAAAATAAATTGAAAAATTTAATTAACAAGAAATGATAGCAGAGATAATACTGTTTGTTTGAACGCGCTTATCTCAGGACCTACTGGTTCGAATTGGCCATCCCCGGTGCAACCACTAGGAGCCGAATGGTCCCGGGTTCGAATCCCAGCGACACAAAAAATTGTTTCGGTCGGGCAGGGCATAGAAGTCTGATCAACTACTTGCCTGTTAAAGAACGGATCAGTGAAACGGACACAGAAATGTGTTCGCCCCATGCCCCACGAGGGGAAACAGGATTACACACAGTGCATTATTATTATTGTTGTTGGACCGCACTATAATCCCATAGAAATGTACTCCAAAAATCTAAATATAAATTGACTGAAGCTTATTTACGAACGACCTATATAGACCTGTACTTGTGAATGGGTGAAAATATTTCATCTCGATACAAGACTTAACGCGGAACGTGTAATGTATAAAACATGGCGCTAGAGATTATATCGGAACAGCTGGGTCCTACGTATTAGTCGGCTCATATTATATTTAAACAGACTTCAAATGGAATTAAAACATCAATAATAAATATGTTTATATAAGGATATAGTTAAATGGTATATACTGGGTTAGTGTTATAAAATTAAATATATAAATTAAAAATTGATTTGGATTTAAATAAAATTATTAAAAAGTTAAACATTTATTTCATAAGTAATTAGTTTTAATAGTTAAATTATTTTTAATTACGATCTGACGTTGCTGACGTTGACGCGCTGCAAAGCACCCTTTACAGCAGCCGTGGTCACGGGGAATTAAAGATGGAGGGTGTACCAAATGTCATAAATTACACTAGAGCCACAATTTGACATGGACTCCTCTATCTTTAGTTTCTCCGTGACCACGTCTACTGAAAAGCATCCAAAACGTCAGATCTTAGTCAATAATAAGTTAACCTATATATTTTGCGCTCCATTCCGTTTTATCTTCATTAGTACTACTTTCTAAAACAACAGAGAATACTTAAGTATATATATTATATCAATATTTATCTTAAATATATGAGTATAAGCTTAGCTTATTAAAAACCTGTGTTCGCATCACGTGGAAATAAATGTGTTTGATTAGCTACAGATATCACTCACCAACACACAATAAGCCAGTACAGCAAATTACGAATTATACGAGTTTAGGAGTCTCAGCAGTGGGAATAATTAGACTGATGAAGCCATGCAACAATTATGTTCGATTTTTCCGCGCACGAGCGAAGCGATCCATCTGAAATCTGTTTATCCTACGCCATTAGGAACGAAATGGGTTGTTCCCAGTGAGTTTTAACGCAACCGGAATCTTGTTACCGATGCGAAGTAAATTTCGTTTACGTCACAATCACAGATTCACCCAGTACAGACAAGCACTTTGCGAGTGGCGCGGCTCGTTTACATACAAACCTTGTTACAAGCCCCGTACTTACCGTTGCATGGTTTATTTACTTTTTTATAATGGAGCAGCACAGACGAGCGCGACACCATCCATATAACATCTAAACAAAATGCTCTGTGGACATAATTTAGCTATGGATATTGCGTACACAGACTGAAAACGAAAGACGAGTAAACGGCTTTTTCATCTGTGGATGCAGGTTCGTGACCCGAACGGTATTTCGTTGTTCGTAATTCATATCTATATTGACAGAAGTTACCATGTTAAAAATTATAGATGGATTAGAGACACGTTGGATCTGGTGCGTATCGAACCCCTTTGAATATTAGCCTTACATTGCTACCATTACAGTACATACAAAGTGATATCGGGGCTTTCACAATGTTTAATTAATTTACGAATTGTTTATAACAGTACAATACAGCAACGGTCGCAAGAGAGGATAAGAGCGTACTTCTCTCAAATAATTCACGAAAATTAAAACTAAGTAGTACAATTGGGAACTTTAAAATCAATGACGAATTTGACTATCAACTAATAACAGTAGGTTTTGATGCGACAAAGTTTTTACTGCTAGGCAGGTGTGTTCGGTCGCCATGTTGCTGAGTTAAAGATCATCCCATTTTCAAATTATACGATAAATATGATTTAACATTTTATTTAGCCGTTAAACATGACAGATATGTATATTCAATATATATATATATTATACAATTATTGCCGGCCGCTGCTCGACCCTAGAGCAAGTTTGATTTATTTCGAAGCAGGTTGTGAAAATAATTCTCAAATTTCGAAGCATGTTTGATAAAATATTATTGATTTTTAGCCCTAATAAATAAATTGTTACCTTAGCAACGGTCTTTCTCAATAAAGGCAGTTCGTGATCATTGTAGAAACGAGAGCCACTCAAATTCTTTTAGCTTATAAGACGCCGACATAGCGATATCCACGGGGGCGGAAATGAAGCTGAGATCGGACCGCAATCTAAGTAATAAACGGGGTGACCACACTTCCGGTTTTCACGAGACTGTTTTGCTGTGCGCTCGCACAGAAATTAATTTGAAGGCACTGAGCGAAGGTAAACAAGTCCTTTGTATAAAGCATTTAATCAATTATATATAACATTGTGTGTTAGCACATAGATGTTTTGAGTGAAGTCGAGAAAATGAAAACTTAAGACGCTTCCTCTATGGCATTTAATTTCGGTCTTCACTTACAACGAATAGTTCAACAGTGATAATGATGTAAACAAAATGCGCCCAATTCAAACGCACACGCAATGATGCAAGTCACATTTGAATTTTCTTATTATCGCGCTGCAACACAATGTACATTTATAACATAAAAGCAGTTATCATTGTATTGTACTTATTACTTTTTTCTAATACACTATACACCCCTTCAATACCTTATTTGTACAAGGTACTTAAATTTTCATACGAAAACATCATAATAAAACATATTGTAATTAATAAAGGAATTGTAGACTACAACTTTAAGATAAATAAGCATTTTTGTGTTTTATAAATATAAGCATCTTAGCTATTTAGTTTTTTTTTGTTTAAAATAGTGTTAAATAACTGAGAAGAGAAATTGTGTAATATTTAAAATTAAGAATACACAAGATTTTGAAACAAATCAAAATACGTTCCAAAAATGTATGTAATACAAATTTATAATATTTTCCGGGGTCATAAACATCTGCTCATTTTTTTTTAATGTAACCAAAATTAAAAGTAAGCCTTTATACTTCAGTTTAGGTATAAAATTATTTCAAATCATGTATCTAGTGGATTTTATTCACTCTATGCTATTAAAAGTGCCATCAAACTTGGCATTTAATATCAAAATCAGCAAAACAAGTTCAGTATATGTATGGTGAAAAGACAATTTACAATTTTCAATAAACGATATTAAGTCCTTATCTCATTCTTGTTTATTTTTTATTGGAAGTATTATTTATTATTGCTATAGTATTCCGGGTATTAAAAATACGTCAAGCACATTAGGGTAAACGTCCCATTCGCGTAATATTAAAGCACAATAGGGGATGTTACCCGCATTGTCGGAACTATGTGGGATTTACCAAGACTACGGCTGCTTCAGCCAAGTAAATGCTGCCGTAATCACATTGCGAGACTGTTCCATGTCCAAATGAGCAAGCCTCGTTCGTTTATTTGCTATTTGTTCATACGAAAAACTTTCAAAACTCAATGTAATCCTTTGTTGTGCCTGAAAGTTTGAAGGTATGGTAATTAGCTTGTGTTGCCTGTTGTTCGCCAATTGCTGGATCTGAATCCGCTTGAACTTTCGTAAGTTTGTCATGTTAGCTGTAAGTCTGAATTTAACCCTAAATGAATTTATACTCTATACTAATATATTATAATGCTGAAGAGTTAGTTTGTTTGAACGCGTTAACCTTAGGAACTACTGGTTCGAACTAGAGAAATATTTTTCTTGGTTAGAGAATTTATCAAGAAAGGCTATAAAATCACGCCCCAACTAATAGAAACGTGGCACAAACAGTTCAAGATACTCACAAAATGTGTAATATATATTGATTCTTCTTTAAATGGTCTAAAAAAATGTCCGTGACAGTAGGTATATGTCTCTATCTTAAATTTAAATTGCAATAAAGGCGGGACGCGACGACGTTGTGTGTAACAGATAAAATTTAGAAAGATGAGCAGATTTGAAAGAATAAATTTTGATGCCCTAGATAACTACTCTATGCGTACGAAGTCGCGGCCACAACTAGTGTACTATATTATTGCAGTTGGTCTGTTTTTCTTTTTGCCTTACCGAAACTATTTGTGATTCGACAGTCAAGCAAATAAAATTTCGTCAGTAAATTGGTAAATAAATAAACACTTTCAAATTATCAAAGCGTTTCAACGAGCTTCCAAAATGCACCTTGCAGCCGTATAACTTTAAACAAAGCTATTAAATACAATCTGCTTTTTGATCCAATTTGAGAAAATGATAATGCAAAGCGCGCGGTGATACATAGTGTACAGACGGGTGCGAGAAATGTTGATTTATTTTTATTTGTCATACCAAATTTTGTATCTTGAGAAAATAACACATCAAATAGGGCCAGTTATAGAGTTAAGTGGATGCCACAGATGACCAGATTACCTCAATGTTCAAAATCACTTTTTGACGACTTTTTATTTGTGGCATTATTATTTAACTCGACGTTTGTAACGCTTTTCAACGTCCATGCATGAGTGGGATTGTCGTTGACTTTACTTACATCACATCCCTATATAAATCAAATATAATTTCTTTAAAAGTAAATAAAATTTCTTTGACATTTGATTTGATCAATCTGTCCATTTAGGTACATTCATTTTTAATTTAAATTGTGGTTTTTATGAAGTGAGATTAAGGTAGGTAGTTTAATTAGTTTAATATATAGTATAGTGTTTCAAAGTGTTTTTAGAGTAAATCAATATAAATCTTGTGAGAAAATTACGATTTTATGTTAGTTGTCTATTTGTTTATCAAAAATGTCTAAAATATGATATTTTAAATAATGACTTCTATAATAATATTGTCACTATCTATTAATATTTTTACGCAATCCTTATTTTAGTTTAGTTTCCCTAGATAAGTTTTGAAATTGTATGTAAGTTTTATTTTGATAAGTTTAAGATTATATTTAACATTGTACATTTTGTTTCGCCCACCTTGCACATCTCGTTTTCCCGTAAACTTTTTTCTCTTTCATCTTGGGTTGCCTGGAAGAGATCGCTCGATAGCGATAAGGCCGCCCATTGCACTCCATATGTTTAGTATATAAGTTTATATTTTTGTTAATTTTTTTGTGCAATAAAGTGTAAATAAATAAATAAATAAATAATATTATAAAGAGGAAAGATTTCTCTTTTTGTATTTTTGTATGTAATGGATAAACTCAAAAAGTACTGGACCGATTTTAATAATTCTTTTTTCTTTAGAAAGCTATATTATCACTGAGTAACATAGGCTATATTTAGTACTTGATTACTATAGGCATCTATCGAAATTCTTACTAAAACCAACGGAAGGCGTAAAAAAATTTGGCGTAAAATGTCTTTCTTAGCATACGCTTCGAAAAGAACTAATGATAGGACAAAAAATGTTCGAAAATATTATAGAATATATCAATATCTACAAAAAAATATCCCGAGAGAATATGTCTAACTGTTGTAGTTACGTCGCTATAACTACTTCTCTTACATTTAACAAATTAATAGAAATGCCGCTCAAAATCAGACCTTGTTATCGTATGGATAATTTCGCATTTATAAATTTTTATCCAAATAAATAATTTAATATTCAAGACTGTCTCAATAGCTGATTATTACTTTTTTAATTATTGAAATCCGACATTCCATTCAAAAGATATCATGAAATAAAAATAAATACCTGCGGCGGCCGCCACGCCGCGCATCGAGTAACTAATTCGAAAATAGAGGGGCGGTGGGCTCCTTACGCAGTGGACGCGACCGACATTGAATTTTTTTTTTTAATCAGTTTTACGGTTTACTTAAAAAGTTCTTTTCAGAGCTACTTAGTTTTAGTACTAGGAAGCACACTTTGCATAATATTTGTTAAAGTTCTTTTCGGAATTTTTTCTTTGTACTTGAATATTTTCTTTTGTATTATTATTAGTTTTTTCTTAATTTCTCTGATTTAAAGTAAATACCTAAGAATAGTTCCCAAGTGAGATTAGCACAAGTTTGTCGTATTGGAGAGTCTTCTTCTAAAAATGATCGTCTGGAAAGTATTAGAGTGTACGTCTCCCAAACTCGAGCCAGAGATTCTATCATCGAACGATTCAGATTCGTCTTGCAGAACAAAATGCAAGATCCGCGAACGCGTGCGTGGGACACTAACACTGAACGCAAGTAACACAGCGAGATAGACAACGGTCGTTAACAGCTAGGACGCGCAATACTTTTTTATCTAATTTAGTGATTCATGGTCGTTTTAATTAGCATGCTTATAATTTAATCTGTACCTATTTATGTCTACCCGTGCGAAGCCGGGACGGGCCGCTAGTAATGAATAAATATACAAAATACAAAGATACAATATGCCCAATTAAGTAATGTCGTTATGTGAATTATTCTTAAACAGTTTGCTATTATTTATAGGTTAGCTTTTATATTACCTTGAACGCAGGAGAGAATTACTAATTAAGTGGGGAATATCGTTAACCTGTATTGGATCAGCACGGTGGGTCCTTAATCTTTATACCCTCTTCTATGATAGAGGAGAACTGTGGAACATTAATAGGTTGTAATGAATAACTATGTACAATTACGATGCAACAAGCAATGAGATTTACTGCTACAACTGCAAAGGATCTGAATCGTCGGGCCCTAGTTGAAATAAATTGTAAATAACTTCAACTAATACATTTCGCGTTTTAAACCGTTATAAATGTTTTAATTAAGTGTGTACGACTGTATATATCAAATGCCAAAATATGTCGACAACGCCTTTTTGCATGGTTTACATCCTATCGAGTAAATCCATGATTGTCTATCCTCTTCTAACATTAAAAAAGTGCACTACCCGCGTAAACTACTGACCCTTCTAAAGCAAATAGATCTTATTAATTTAGTGTGAACTTTCTACACAGTACTAAACTGTACACACGCCTATCAAATTCAACAAAACACTTGCCAATAATATGAGAAATAAAATTTTATCGAGTGCTATTTTAACAGGTCATGGTTTTCGGCCCAATATCTGGATCGAACTGGTTTTATCGACTTTCAATTTATTCGGCAAGTTTAATGTATAATCCCCGGATTTTCCTGTCGGGGCTGTCCCGGCTATTCCTTGCTGCCATAATGAATTTTATTACCGAATACTGACCGGTTCAACGGAGTCGCACGATTTAGTTTTGCGAACATTTCCGTTTCACAAGGAAATATGCCGCCACGACCATATCTTTGCGCCGGATAATTGGCTTTGTGATATGTAATTACTATTATTGTACTACTGTGGTCAAAAATTTGCATGCTTAGAAATAATGAGAGGAGGGCCACTCTCGTGACACCGTGAAAACATTTTTTTTTTAGTTGCGCTCAAAAGTGTAGTTTACTGTAAAAAAACTTCAGTAAAATAGGCACAAAATTTTTTGATTGCTAATTTTAACTTTTGAATTTAGTGGTAGTGTTAATTAGGGTCTCAGGTTCAAACATTTTACACATAGCATCTCCAAAAATTTATACAATAATTGCCAGGTCTGGAACAGAATTCCAAACATCCAATTTACTGTAGACGGTTATATTTTAGTAACAATATGTTAGCTCACGTACGTAGGAGAATTCCATAATAATATTATGAACATTTGATACCTATGTTAATGCTCTGAATACAGAAGAGTAAAAATTCAATTTCTATACAAAACTGTAAAACAAAACAGAAGCAATACTGCTCAAGAGCTTCAATAATTAACCGATTAACAAAGGCCGCTGGGGTGGAGGGAGGCAACAATTATCTTATCCTCTTATAGTACTTGGGTTTTTACAATTCCCAAGATTTCTACAAAAAATAACGTCGCAAATTAAATGGATGCTTCAATTACAAAACCTCTATTCTAATGTTATGGCCACGAAAGGCGTCTAGTGCGCGAAAATAAAATACAGTGTGCATGTTATAGGGAGTTACCGTTCTATGGAAAAGAGAAGCTGTTTGAAGTTTTCACATGTTTTTTAAACAATTCTAGTCTATTTTTTAATTTATATTCTTTTTTCCTTGATGTGTAGTAGTTTCTTTGAATTTAAAAAAATAATAATTAAAATACTTAAAGATCATTTTTTTATCGTATATCACTTGTTTCATCGTGACCCTTAGTCAAAATTGTGCTTAACGTTTATATATATATAAACACATTTTTCATAATTCCTATTGTCTTCTTATAATGTTTATACATTTTTTATTATCCCCAAAAGATGTTATATCTATGGGTCAATAACGACATTATTTACCACATGCATGGTACAATCATATATTGTCTGCTGTTGATCCACTAATAACTATTACTAGTGGTGATACATCCTTTTCTGTTATTTTTAAAGGTCTTACTCAAAATTCAAGAACTACTAGTATTGTAGTAGATCAATCCAGCCATGGTCCAATCTTAATTTTCTGGAATACTAAAACCAATATCTTTACAATTAGTATCTCCATAATACTTTAAGGCAATGTTGTACGAATTGTCGCTTATGCTTAGCGGTCTAACGCGTGCTTCATAGCGACCGACCAATAGAAGGAACGAGCTAAGTAATATTAAAATAGCAACTCTATAACTTAACCACACT